TCCCCCATTGATCATGTGTTTTCTAGTCAAAAAATCCCTGTATTGGGAAGGCAACTCTGATTGCTTTCATAATGATTATAGTTTAGATAGGGGTCTTTGACTCATGTTGGTGTCTCTTTAAATATGAGAGGAAAATAATTCAGATGAGATAAGGACAGTGTAAGAAGATAAAATATTCCTTCCTTTTTCCATTTGCCTCTAAATAAATATCTCAAGTTCTTTGTGTAAGAAAACTCAAACATAGTTTTTTAGTACAATCTATAATTTGATTTTCTATTCACTGATAAGGTGAATAAAAATAGTTCTTGAATAGTTTGTAAGGGAGTGAAAGTTGCTTGCTGTGTCAGAGTCTTGCTATACATGAACTTTCCTTTGAGAAGTAAATAAATCTATCAATGTTAAGTAAAACACAGATCATTATCACCAAAGTTATAAAATATTTTGGTTCTCTAGATCAAGTGTAAGAGAGAAGAGAGTTAATAATAGTTATTTCATTAGTCAAGAAGCAGAAATTCAGGATGCCAAACATGGGCCAAGAGAAAGGTAGACATTTGTAAAAGTATTGATCTTTAGTAGTAGGCAAAAGTGAAAGAAGAGAAATAGTATTGAAGAGTCAAATCAGGACCTGAGAGATAATAGATTTTGTTTAATGTTGTTTAACATGCACACCCATGAACAAGAAAGGTAGTTTGTATTTGAGACATGTAGATATTTAGAATATCTCCAAATGCTTAAAGTCTCCCCTTGGTTGTTATTTATACCATGTTTATCTATAGCTACATGCAATCAGAAGTATTTAGAAAATATTCATATAACTGTGACTTCTTCAAGATTACTAAAATAATGTATACCAGATTTCCAGGAAGTCAATAAATATCTGTACATGGTTTGTTACAAGTCATTTTTCTAGGTATTTGCAAGTAAGTGATGTAGAAAACAGAATCTCTGCTGTAGAATCTAGAATTTAAATTATAGTGGTGGAAGAGACAAAAATAAATCATCAGATAGACAAACAAGTAAGATAAAAATGAATATAGGCAAGCATAATTCAGGTTGGTCTCTACTGGCTTGCATAAGGAAGAAGAGTGGTGGGATGGGAAGTAAGCTGGCTTGGTACAGACAGAAAGCATGAGGCTCTATGGGTGGATTCTCATTCTTTTCTTTCTTTTTCAGTGACTTACCATTTTACAAGTAACAAATATGACAAAAGACTGTCTGTACTACACACATATCATTCAAATCTAATCTGCTTCAGTGAAGGGACAACAGTGGCAGGTAAAGATTTACAATGTTTATCTACACTTTCCCTTTCTCGGAGAAAACTCAGGGTTAAGCTCAAGATTGGTGTATTCTTGTATGTGTGTGTGTGTGTGTGTGTGTGTGTGTGTGTG